GGGGCGGGGCTGGCTGGCATGTGGTGCTGGGGGATTGAACCGCAGTCCCTGATGCTTTGCCAAGCTAGTTCCAAGTAGGTGCTTTAGACCACTGAGCCATCTCTCCAGCCCCTTTTTTTTTTTTTTTATTCAGTTTGTGTTTAAATTGAAGTATAATTGTTAATTGGAAAATCAGATCTATTTTATTCTGTTCCAATTTGTGTCTCCCATATTGTCTCTACATTTATGTAGGAAAGCCAATTTTTATATATTGAGTACCAAATCAGTGTAGGATTCCAGCAATAATGTATAGAAGGGTGGTTTCACACTATAATCTACTAGATCATTTCTAGCTTAAGGAATTTCTGAATCCACCTTAACACTTCATGAAAGATTCCTGCTTTAAAATAATTGGTGATGTGTTTTAAATGTTATATCTATATAATGTGTTTTACAAATTGCTTGAGTTTTCTGGTAGACATGTTATGTCAAAAATAGGAAGAATCACAGAAAAGATTCATTTGGTTTTGAGACATTTTTATATAATATTAGTTTAGCAAAGACTTTCTAGCAATTTCAAAAAACTGATTTATTATCATTGACAATTTGCATAAGGCCTCTCAAAGAGAGTCAAAATAGTCTATATTTTGTTCATATAACATTTCCAATCTTTAGTACTTTTTATAAAATAACTACAGGAAAATGTATGTACTAATAAAAAATAAAGATTGAAAAATGTTAGACAAAATAATTTTTAAAAATCATTTAATCATATTTTAATGATATAAATTACATGGACATATTTCTGTTTTGACATATATATTGTTATGTGTACATACTGATATTTATTTGTTTTATATATGCTGACAATAACCTTTATCTACATATTCATTAAAGGGGTTATATCACTTAATCTGAGTGTTCACATTCCTATTATTATAGTTAATATAGTCTGTTTTACTAATTAACACACATTGTGGGGAACATTTACATCTTAACCATTATTTTTTCTTGAGGAATACTGGCATTTTGCCTAAACAGAACTACACGCATCTGAGTTATGCTGTGCTAAAGGCACTATGCAAATGCAACCAGAAAAACTTATAATATTGTATAATTAATATATCCTTTCCTTTTTATTTTCAATGTAATTGTCTTTACTTTTTATCTGTGGCTCTGGTAAACAATATATTGATAAGCCTGGGGATTTTTTCTTTGACTCTTATCTAGTCAGAGTTAATCCCCGTCTTTTTGTTAGAACATTTAGTGAATGTATCTTGTAACAATACTGATAACTAAGAACAGAGATCAAGCATTCTTTGCTATTTAGTGCTCATTCAAGGTGATCAGTTGTTATTCCATTCTCTAGTCCCCCTTGGATTAGTGTATTATATTTAAAATTTATTTGTAATTTGCACATT